CAACAACAGTGTTGTTGGAAGCAGGGAAGAAGGCAGTGGGTAGGACATGGTGGACCAAACCATTTGCAGTCAGAAGAGCAGGCACAAAGTATTCTATAAGCATTTTATCTCACCTCCTGGCTTGGGCACCTGAGGAACCACCTCCTTGGGAAGTGCTCAGGTGCAGAAAGACATTCACCCAAAAGGAAAGCCCATGAATTTGAAATAGAAAACAGAAGTGTTTAGATGATGGTTTTCTCTGTTCTAGCAAGAAGAGTTAAATGGTGGAGTAGGAAGCAAAATGTGAAGATGGAGTCCAGTTCTGCAGAGCACAGCTGAGGAGAAAGTGTCCATTTAGGGAGAAGCAGATGGTAGAAAAGAAATAAGCAGCACCTGCAACTCATGTAAAATACACATATTCAGGAGTAGCACCTGGAGAATGTGGTTTCTGCATGGAATAAATAAAAATGTTAGAGAGGTACAGCTGCCACCATAAGCCAATGACAAGAAGATGGGAGTCAAAGGGAACTGAATTTCATCAAGTCTGATTTATCCCACCATTGTGCTGCATCCACTGTGTCAAGACCCATTCTCACTGCATGTGTTTATAGCTTGGTGGGAACAATCACAGCACAAGAGAGCTGATTGTGTATTTGTGAGGTTGTAACCTCCTGAAATGTTACACTCTGTCAGCTCAAGAAGTAGGGCAACACAGGTAGATAAAAGTTCCACTTTTCAAATGAACAGAGATTGTAGCTGGAACTGACCCTTACAGGAAAAGTGAGCTCACAACAAGATTTATGAAAAAGTACCTGGCATTGGTTGGCTTTCTGGGAAATCAGGGGCTGAAGGGCATTGGGGGAATGCCCATCCCTCTGCACATGAGGAAAGATAAGTTTCTTCAGAGCCCCGGTTATCTGTGATTATTCACCTTTCATGAGTCCTTGCTGACCTCTCACCTCCTTCCATTTCCTGGCTTGTGACCTCACACTGCACACTCCTGCCTGCCAGGGTTTCCTCGAATGACATCTCTATGCTATTCCTAAAACAGACTTTCCCCCTTCTGCATTTCCATGGAATCATTGCAATAACCTCCATTTGATACCTCTCAGTTTCCACCTGCAGAAGTCCCTGAGCTGGAGGATTCAGGAGCCCAGTAACAAGGACCAAATCTCTGGGTCTGAATATTAATTATTCATTAATTAATTATTATATATTCATTAATTCATATACTCATTAATTAAATAATTCATAACACTAATGCTGCATGTTCAGGAACTGGACTGTAGTTCTCATCCTGGCTCTGCTGTGCTACTTTGGGCAGGTAATTTTTCCCATTTGGCTTTCTTGGTCTCCCCATGTATAAGGCCCAGCCTTATAAGCCCTCCTGATATAAAACATCCTGAGATCTTTGGACAGCAAACTCTATCATGAGCCAACCACTGCTATTATTAGAGCTCTTGTGTGCTACAGAGACTCTGGCAAGAGACACAAAAGCAAAATAAATTCAAGGGCAGAGAGAGCAGACAGAGCAATAAAGCACAAAAATTGTAGAAGGAAGAGAAAATAATCTAGTGAAAACCAGAGCACAGCACTGGGGCATTACTGCCATGGTATAGTGTATATGGAAGGATAACAGTATTTTAAAGCAGTTTAAAATCCAGCTGAAGCAGTACAAATCCAGTTGTCCACCTTCTTAGTCTTTGTGTTCCTAGTGGCCTGTAGTTCTGTAGCTGCTCCTACCTAACTCCACACATAGAAAAGACTTTTTGTATGGTTTGGTTTATAAATGTATTGGCTGGCTACAGCTGTGCAGCTCAGGTAGGCACAGAGATGCTCTACCACCTCCTGAGTTCAGCCAGGTTTATCCTTTCTCTGCCTGGGAAAAGCAGCCAGTGAGAACTGAAATGCACAGGAAAGCTTGGATGCAGAGCTGTGGGAGGGTCAACTAAATCAATATTTACACAACTGCATATGCAGTGCTGTAAAAGGGAAGATCAGCACACAGTTACAGCATCATTTGGAGATAAGTGAAGCTCAGATCACCAGTTTTATGTGTGCTGCTCCAGAATGCTACTGAGCAAGCAGCAGTTGTGCTCCATCTGTCAGTGTGTCCTCTGCTGTCACAGGATGCTTGCTGTGGAGCAGACCATGGTCTGCTTCTTTCCATTATGGATGAGGCTGGATTGTCCTGTGATTTTTCTGTACAGAGAATTACAGTGTCTCTGTAACCAGTTTATATTTTCTCTTGGTTAAAGAGCAGCTTGTATGTCAGGATTAATATAAATGAAGACAAAAACTCCATTTGTGCTTGCAATTCCTAAAGAACAAGTCACCTTTGCTTTCCAGCGAGCATCAGAAGCTGAGAGCATGGACTGGTTGGGAAGTGATCAGAGGGAGAGAGATACCAGATCAGCTGTGCCTGCCAAGAGTGGGGTGTGGGATGAACACAGGGTCAAACATTATCCTTGGGGGATTTCTTTTCCCCATTTTCTGTTTGGATTTTCAGAGCCATTTCAATCCTAAAAATTTGTGCAACCTTGTTTCTCAGTTAAAAGGCTTTAAAAAATTTTGAAGTTTTTTATTTTACTGCCTTTTTGATGAGTGATATGAACTGCATATAGACATTTCGCTCCCCTTCATTAACATTGTAAATTAATTTAGGACTGATTTAGATGCAGGATTAACAACATGAGGACTAATCCACTCTTTATTCAGGGGACATAATCAGGATGAGCAGTCTTTGGTCTCACATCACTCCATGAGTTAGCAGGACCATCTCATGGGAAGCAAACAAACAATATTTGTGTGTCTGCTGGCAGAGGAACTGTGCAGGGTTAGGGCAGAGGAGGGGGAGACACCTGGCCTGGCCCCAGCTTTGCTCCAGGCTTCTTCTGCAACCCTGGGCAAGTGCTCCTACACTGCACCATTTCCCCTGACTTTAACATTGAGGAGTCTGGTTTAGAGAAAAGACAAAAGATTAGAAGCAATGTTTGTGGTGGTTTAGGGCAGTATGTTTAATTTAAGCAGGATTAAGGATACCTGGGCCATGGGCCACCTGCCAACACAGAAACTTGGTAAGCTGGAGGAGTAGATTTGATAAGCCTTCAGTTACATGCCCCATCCTTATTTACATGAAATGGTTTTATTTTCTGAGCACTCTTTTCCTCTGATAGCACTGTGATTAGTACATCATTATCTATATTGCCGAAGCAAAGTCAAGTCCTCAGTTTTCAGATCAGCAAAGAGAAAACACTGCTTTTCTAAAAGCAACAATTACCTGTTAGAAAAGTTGACACACTCAATAGAAACCCTGCACTATCCCAGTGATGCTGTTTTCAGCTGCCCTGTGTGTTTGCCAGAGAAATAAATAACATATCTTGCAATTAACAAATGAATATCCTGCTGAAGTTAGCTTTTACTTGCTGTCAATGAATAATCTTCAGAAGGATTTCATCCCCTGAAGTGAATGAAGATTAAATACATGCTTTGGCAAGTGTCCTTTTCCACCAGAATATTTTCTTGAAAGCACTTTTTGTCTAATGATACACTGAGGACCTGTTCCCCTGAGTACAATAAATAAATACAAATAATTGCTGTAGAAAAGAGTGTGACAGACAGGCAGTGCCATTTTGGGCATAACTGATTGATGCTTTGTATAATCAGTGACACTTGTAAAGCTGAAACCTTCTGTTCTGGACACATGCTGCTCACATCAGATGAGCTGAGCTCTGCTGTCCCACAAGGACAGCATTTTAAAAACATTTAATACAAATTGTTATTAATTGTTTGCATTACAACATTACCTAGAAGCAGCAAGCACAGATGAGGACCCTGCTGTGCCACTGGCTGCAGGAAATAAAAAAAGGAGGGGATATTGCAGTTCACATCATTTGAAATCAAAGACCAATTGATGGAGCTCCAGACCCATCTCAACTTTAGTGAGATCATAAAGAATGAATGATTTTCTACAATTCAGTGTTGGCCACAATTTTACAGACAAGCTCCTGACAGGTGTTGGGTACCCACCATGATAGCATAGGAAAACATGTCATGCTGGCACAATATTTCAAAACCCAACAGAATTCTCACTTTTTCAGAGATATAATTGTTCCAGCGTGGCTCCCTCACACAGATGACAGTGACAAGACAGCTACAGCACCACAAATCCGTGACTCTAATTAATACTTCTGCAGGAGCTTTTCAAAGCAGACTGTTTTCTTAAAATCCTGCATTTCTTACAAATCCTGCTACGCCTTTCCACTCTCCAAGAGGATCAAACTGTGCTGTGGTGTGTGCATGAGACTGACTCAGTGTCCCCCTGTGCAGCTCAGTGATACAGGCCCCCCTCTAAACCCCTCAGGACAGAGGCCACAGAAGCTGGGATTCTCCTGGGCTTGTTCAGCTCTGCCTAAAGATGTCTGAGACATGAGAATGCCTGCTCCATTAAAAGGACATCAGAATTGCAATAATCCTTCCTTACACAACAAGAGAAATGCTGGAAGCTAGCAGCAGAATTCCAGGGCTGTTGTTAATCCATGAGTTCTCATGTTAGCCTTGCCTACAGCTTTCATCCTCGGGTTCTTGCCCCAGTGGGTTTTACATTTTCATGCCACACCATGCTCCCAGGGACTGTCCATTCAGCAGATTCTCTGTCAAGCACTTGAAGGGCAAAATACATCACACTTATTACCAACTAAATAAGTGAACAGGATCCTGGTGTTGGTTTTCTGATCTAGGGGAAGGAACCTTCTCCTGTTTGAATTTAGTTCTTGTAAATAAAATAATTATTGGCCTATTCTACACTCAAGTCATTCTGAGACCCAACCTCCAGCCCAACAGCAAATCAAGGCCAAAAAAACCCCTCATGTTCATTTAGCTCCCCAGTAGGAGTGTAGTTATTCACCTTTCTAAGAGCATATTTCACAATCAATATGCCCATGCATCAGAATGAAGAAATCTGTAGGCATCAGACAAATGGAATGTTAGAAAGAGCAGTGGGAGAGGAAACACTTTCTTACCTGTCTGCAGCAAGCCAGCCCCGCTGTCTTTGACTCCAAAGTGCTGCTGGATGTCCAGTAACACACCTACAAGGAAAACAGGGAATATGCTCAGTGCCTTCAGCCTTTGACAAGCATTCAACTCAAACCTTTTGTGATGCATCAGCAAAGCTTCAAATTCCAGTTTAAACACATAACTTCTAAAGGTTTTACTTTTTTTTTTCCCTACACATGCACTCTCGGTAATTTTGGGCTACTGCAATAAAAGCAGAGGTGGGCAGATGCAATGTCACACAATGAGCCTGGAAATTAAATCCTCATGAATGGAAACTGGTCTTTTCTTTCTGCTTAAATAAGATCAGGCATTTCTTTTTGTGTGTGTGCTATTTTTCATAATCCAGACCTCTTACTTCTGTTATTTCACAGAAATCCAGGGAAACTGATTTTGCACCTAAGGTGCTTCTAATGGTTTGACAAGACAGATTGAATCCAAGACAAGTTTTAACAAATCTCTGCTGGGAGGAGATATGACAATTGTTAGCAATGATGAAAGGTTTCATATTTGACTAGTTCTGGGGAGTTTCTACTTTCAAAGCTAATATAATAAATATATTTAAAATACCTTAGTAAAGGTGGGTAAGTGACCAGATGCTCAGATTTAAAGCAACTACAAGCAGAACTAAACCAAGTCTGTCTTCCTTTAACCCCAATATATTAACTGGTACAAGCAAAATTAGCAGGTTTTGAAATATTTACACATTCAACTAGATTTAACATTTTTGTACCAAACACGTTCACACAGGTAACATCAGGTGTATGGGACAGCCATGTTTTTGTAACCAACAAACCAAGATGAAAACCCAGAGCAGAGCTTCAATAGCTCATTTGGGGGCACACAGGTTTGCCAAGCTCTCCATGGTCCTGTGGTCTCAGATGCAAATCCATAGGCCTGAATATTTGTCAGTGGTCCAATAAACCAGCATCTGACTTCCTGGGTCTGGAATTGAGGTTGTTGCTCTCTTTAGATCTGGGACTTCCTTGTTTTGACTGCTGTCTTCCCCAAACCTGAGTTATGCAAGTTTCTTTTCTAAAAAGAAGAAAACCATTCTCTAACCAGAAGTTCACCTCCAGCTCAGATTCTGATCCAAGGCTTTATCCAAAGTCATTCTTCTCATCTCTGCAAGTTACAGAAATCAGCTGAACACCAACCTGAATCATTCACCATAAATGTCCCAGCTTTTGGGACTGCCAAGATCACACTAAATGACAAACACAGGGAGATAAAAGACCCAGAGATAACCATTCCCAGAAAACATCTGGGACAATGCCAAGGGAACAGCCATAAATTAATGCCACTAAAGGAAAAGAAGAAGATGGAGAGAAGGAAAGAAAAAGCAAGAAAGCTCGTTTGAGCTATTCTGTACTATTTGTGTATCACTATTTACTCAGAACAGCATTCAGGTGGGCTTCAGGCCTCACCATCTGCCCAGAAACAGCAGTTCAACCTCCTGCAACAGCTCCCACTTCCCCATTCTCTCATCAGAGTGTTTAGCCCCAACAGGAGGGCTGAGGGTGTGAACCTAACCAATGTATGTCATTGCTGATAAAAGTGGGGAGATGCAGAGCCAGGCTCTTCACTGGTGCCCAGTTAAAGAGGCAAAGGGCAACAACTGAAACCTGGGAAAGTCCATTTAAAAACAAGGAAATGAATTTTTACTGCCAGGGAGGTCAAGCTTGGACGTTCAGAGAGGTTGTGGGCTCCCCATCCCTGGAGATATTCAAAACCCAACAGGACACACTCCTGTGCAACCTGCTCTAGCTGACCCTGCTTTTAGCAGGGGGCTTGGATTAGATGAACTCCAGAGGTCACTTCTGACCTAATTCTTCTGTGATTCTGTACTTTTCTGAAGGATTAAGTGCCTGATTACATCTATCCTGACACAGTGTTCCCCTGGCCTTTCTTTTCCTTTGGAACATTGCTGTCTACTACAATTTCAGTTTGTAGTAGGAATTTCTTTGCTTTTTCTTGGCTGGCAGATTTAATTCCATTTACAAAGTGCCCTGGCATTTCTTGACTGTGCTTCCCTAGTTTGCTCCATTAACAACTGAGATATCATTATCCAGGCAGCAACTGATGAGCAAAAATAAATTTCCATTTGCCTAGCAAACCCCTCAGTAGTGAGCTGACTTACCTGCCTGCTCCCCTTGGTGTTCCACCCTTCTACAAAAAAAAAAAATTGTCATGCCATCCAACTTAGAAACCTCACTGATCTTAACCAGCTCAGAGCACTTTGTGCTCCAGTACTGCCTGGTCCCAGACTGCCACATCAGGCAAATCTCAACAAGTTAAAACAACTCCTGGGCACTATAATCCCAATTTTAGGGACACTGAACTCATCACCATCCCCAAGAACAATGTGGAAGAAGAGAGGAAATGCCAAGGACAATATTTTCACTCAGTTGTGCTGCACAGAAATGAAATATCCTACTCATTGCTTGCAGCTGAACAGGGGGCTGGCCTAGATGGAATGTATTCCATGAGGGAATGCACTCACATGTCAGGAGATCCACCCAGCACCCTGAAAGGTGGCTCTCCCACCTTCAGCAACATATCCCCAGCCATGACAGATTGCCAAAGAGGCACATTAAACTTCTAAAAGTATGAGAAGCAGGAGCCTGGGATGTGATGGAAAACAGACTTTTGTGGATTTGCATGAAAAACCAGAACAGAAAGAAGAGGGGAATATAATGGCGCCTACACAAAAAAAGCAGAGGAGAGTTTCCAGTTTGTGACAAATTATTTGTCCAGGGACAGGGGTTTTGCCATCCTACAGACCTTAATGAGTTTTACAAGCTTGAACTCCTGTAGCCACAAATTAAATACATTTTGGACACAGACATGCAGACACTTGGATTAATCCTACAATTTCATCCTGGTGGTGGAAAGTAGGTTCTGTGGAGAGTCAATGCAACAGGACAATGCAGAACCACAATTACAAGTCCTGTGTGACCTTGGAAGGTCTCAGAGGATTAAGAGAGATCTGCATGTCTAAATAGCATGGATTTCCTTCTCCAAGTTATTTTATATTCTCTTTGGACTGCAGGTGTTTTGATTTGGGTTTAGAGCATTAAATTAGAGGCAACAGTGGGCAGATGATGCAACACACCTGTGAAGTGATAGTAGCTGTCTGCTGTGGGAGTTTTCCTGCTCAGCCACTCCTCCTCTCCTGAATTCACTCAGCTCTGTTTGCACCTCACCGTGGCAATGACTCAGCCCAGAATTTAATAAGATTTAGGGATACAATTAAGCAATGATAGACCAGGGGAGAATACAGGAAAATGATAGAGCTTTTGACTTTCCCTTCTGCTCTAGATGATGGGAAGGCAGAGAGCTGGAGCCAGGCAGACAATGACCACATTGCTTGCAGGGCTGTGTCTCACAGCACCTGATGCAACCCAAGAGGTGAAAACACCACACATGGCTGGCAAGGTCTTCCTTGGATTAAAGCTCATACCTATGACCCAGGAGGATCCCAAAATAGCCAGGAGCAGGCAGCAGGCACCAGCCTTCCTGAGAACCTCTCTGGAGGGCTGCTGCCATTTGGGATGGCTCTGTGATTACACAGCACCTTGTGCTCTCCCACCTTTTACTTCTTAAGCAGGTTGTGTATTTTCAGGGCTGAGCAAACATACAGGAAACGTGGTGCCAATCTCCCAGAGCATCTCAGCAGCTGAAGCAGACACTGCTAATGCTGATGTAGATTTGGAACTCAATGAGATGCAACACAGGCAGCACCCAGCCAAGCAGTGCTGATCAAGATGGGCACAGGGACAGCAGTTACTGGGAGCCCAGACAGAAGAGCACAGCCTGGTTACTGCAGCCATCTCCAGGGCACTTTTACCAGGCCTAATGTCTAAGAACCTACAGACACCAAGGCAGCTATCAGGCTTTTGTGGGCACTGGGCACGAAGAGGACTTTGAGGAGCAATTTGGAGGATAAAAGGTCAGAGTGCTACAGATAGGGAGGGACATGCCTGACCTCATCACTCACGGGGTCAGAGGGTTTCTAGGGTACTGCTGATTTATTTACTGATCATTTCACAATCAGTGCTTGTAAAAGACCTGATTCTGATGTGCTTTTGGAATGCAAATCCACATTTAATGGCCCAGGTTATCTCTGTTTTAGGGGAAATACTTTGGGAAAGCCAAATTTTCCTGGAAGTGAGCAGTTCACACCTCACACAGGGAGGTAGGTGGTCCAGATGAGGCATGAGGCAAGCTGCTTGCCTAAATAGGTTTTGTGTCCCTGATCTGAGCTACAACAATTCAAAAGCTGCAGGATTCTACATGGGCTCTTCACCAAATACTGCTGCCTGTATACATTGCCATGATCAGAAACAGTGTTCATTAGCTAAACCACAGTGAAATGACAATTTCAAAGCAAAAAACACATTAGAGCTTCCCTGGGACAGCCCCATTTTCCAGTCACCAAAACAAAACATCATGATTTGCTTTCAAACTGCTTCCAAGGCAGGTGCAAAAAGTAGAGTTGGGCTGTGCACAGAGTGCAGAGCTATAGAAGTAAAGGAACAGGTTTGCAGCTCACATTATTTAAATACTGTGTGTGTGCTGCAACACCCTGGCCAACATAACTACTTACTTAAGAAAGCATGTTCATTTTTAAAGGCATTTTTTAATGAGGAAAAAGGATGGTGGTTGAAATGAACCAGCACATGGTTTGATACAGGATGTGTGCCCCTAGCACCCTCCCTCCTGCCCCACTGCAGGTCTGGACCTCTCTTTAGGGAACCCAGATTCACACTCTCAACTCCCTGACAGCCAGTGCAGACTCTGTACTGACAACACTGTTTGTTCTATTCCCTCTTGCTGCCCACCTCTCTTCCTGACAAAGGCATTTTCTTCCCAGACTGCGGTCCCTGGTACTTCCAGGACCTTCCTCAGAGGGACAGCCAAGCCCTGGCCTTCTATCCATTAAAGACACAAACCACCTTCCTCCCATCAGGCTCTTCCTCATGCCTGCAGCCATATTCAACCTCCTTCAAATAAAGCTTTAAGGAGGCAGAGG